ACCCTGGCCTCAATGAGGTCACAGTCTGCTTTCCGGTAGATTTCTGAATGGATGTTGTAGGGATGAAGGGGCTCCGCAGCCTGTTGTCGGGAATAGCCTTGAAAAGACCTGTTTTTGGAATCTTCATATGCTGGCACATGGCTGGTATATCCATTTAAGATCTCTGCTGGAGGTGGAGATATCTAGGTGTGGATCAGGGGATAAGGAGCCTTTTAGCTGAAGTTTTAAAGACTGTTGCCTATTCTTTATTGCCAGCCCCTCTGGTTATCCTACCCCCAACATCTCTAGTACTAATAGTCTTTGGTCTTACAAGTCTGCCTTCAATTCTGAGTTGTCCCCAGGTGACTGCATGGCCTTGGCATTGGCTGCTGCCTTCTGGTAGAACTTCATGGGTTCCACTTTCAGCTGGCCAGCCTGGTTACTTGGGGCAGTGCGGACAGATGACTCTTCCGAAAAGCAGGCATTGATGACCTCAGCTTTCGGGGACCCTTGCTGTTCCCCCTTTACCAAGAACCTTAGATCTACTCCTACTCTTTGCCCTGGAAGCCACTTCCCAAGAGCCCTATTTTTTGGAGCTAAACTGCACAGATAATAGCTGCTACTGTACTTGGTCAAGGAAGAGTGAAAGAAGGCTCTCAGGCACACTTTTTCCCTCAAGTCACACTAGTTTAAAATGAAAACCATCTGACAGAATGAACTGGATTTCTATGTTCTCATGTCTACCTGTTTCCCTCTATACCCTAGAGCTACTTGTTTCCAGCAAACTAAAAGGGAGGATGAGCAGTACTTCCCTCCTCTTCTCCCTGAGACTCACTCAGCTTGGTATCCATCATCTTGGATTCTTCAGTAGATAATCTGTGAGCCCAGACTCTGGATTTTCAGTTGAAGACAGGGAGCCGTAGGGAGGACAGGCTGGCTGGAGGCCTCCCTGGCAGCCTGGGGAAAGGTGTGAGGCTCAGTGCACTGAACCATAGGATGTACCCGTAACCAGTAGCAACATCTTCTAGGTAGGACTGTCCTAGAAGTGAGTGAGTGTGAGACTGAGAAATTGCTCAGAGTAGGTTTCTTCCACAGCCGTTTAGGATTGCACATTCTAGACCAATCTTGTCCAGTATTTTTTCTGTCTTAACTTTTGAAGTCTTTTTGTTAAGCCAGCAAGCTGAGAATTTGGCCCTGCGGGGATCCATGTGGTAGGCACTAGCTGCTCTTTGTCCAAGGCCTTCGTAAGTGATTCAGTCATCCCACTGTCTACCCCCTAGCCCCACCCCCACTTTAAGGCCATGACAAGGGAAGAATTTGAAGTCAATACCAATCAAGTCTGCGAATTAAAGCTGTTATTTTTCCTCTGAGAGGGCATTTTGCATCAGGCCTGGGGTATGTGCAGAACCAAAACTGGGTGTGGGCAGCAACATTAAATTTGGGGCCCCGAACATCCAGGAAAAAGGTTTCTATAGTGTGTCATAAAGGTCTCCAGTGGTTTGGGGCCTACCTCGCTATTTCTGGGCCAGCCTGACTGCTGATGTCCATGTTAGCACATACCTAAACCCTTTTCCTAACGCTAGCCCTCCTCCCTTGTGTAGATTAGATTTTTAGCTCCTGGGTTTGGGGAGAAAAAACTCTGCCATGCCCTGGGGCCAGTGAAGGAAGTCAAAGCTCAGATCCTGAGATTGGCTGGGAACTTCTTGACTCAGGATGTCATTAAAAAGAGTCCACCTCTACCAGAACCCTCAGACCCTGGAGTTCGGTATTGTCTCTCTTAGCCAGCTTCTGTGGGAACTGCCTTTGATGACTAAAGAAGCTAAGGAGGGGTGGGAGGTGGGGATGAGGTCCCATCCACCGAGGTCGTACTGGATGTCCTTCAAAAACAGCTTGGGTTCCCAGCTAAAGACCCTAGGAAGGTGAATCAAAACTTTTCCCCATTGGTTTATTCTTCCCAAATTCATTTGCTTTTAGTTTTCTAAGAACTACAGACTCTGGCTATTTTCCATGTTCTCAGGGCCCCTGGGTAGACAGACAAAGTTTGATGATTTCAGAGCAGACATAGGCCAAGAAACCGTGGCATTGAGTGTGCTGAGTCCAGACAAATGATATTTATATACACATCCAAATTTGAAGAGAAAATGTATTTCTTTAGGTTTCAAACACTGTACTAGATATAAAGCAAAAATAAAAACCTGTTGCAAAGTTCTAAATCGTCTTCTTTCGAATCATGCTAAACTGGATTTTTTGGAAATGAATGAGCCAAGGGTGTTTAAACGTGTGGCTTAACAGTGGAATTAGGATTGCAGCAGCCTGCTCCTGCTTATAAAGAAAAAAAATTTTTTTTAAGATTTTTAATCATTTGAGAGTGCAGGAGCTGGGGGAGAGGGGCAGGAGCAGACTCCCCGATGAGCAGGGAGCTCAACACCTGGCCAATTCCAGGACCCCGAGATCGTGACCTGAGCCGAAGGCAGATGCTTAACCAACTGAGCCAGGCACCCCAAGAATTGCTTTTAAGTAAGCTCTACGCACAACACAGGTCTCAAACTCAAAACCCTAAGATCAAGACCTGAGCTGAGTCAGGACACTTAGCTGACTGAGCCACTCAGGTACCCCAAGAATTTTTTTTACTCAGCTTTATTGAAATATAATTGAGATACAGTAACTGGCACATATTTAAAATGTACAATTTGATAAGTTTTGACATACGCACCCATGAAACCATCACCACAATCAAGATAGTGAACATATCCATCACTTCTAGAAGTTTCCACATGCCCCTGTGGAGTCCCCCCTTCCCGCCCAACCCCCAGCAACCACTGATCTGTGTTCTGTCACAATAGTTTAGTTTGCATTTTCTAGAGTTTCTCTATAGGATTTTGACATTTCATCAGTTCCAGTTAACAGCCCTTTGAGCCACTGGGGTCATACAAACTACTCCCATTTAGGTCAATTCCCAGGACAGAGATTACAAACAACCAGCCAAAAAGCTGATTTAACCTAAAAGGAAGGTTTTGGTTGGCTGATAGAGTATGTTTAATTCATTGGCATCATTTTGTAAAAGATCTAAAAAAATTTCTGGCACTACTGGATCTAAGCTTCTGCTTGAAAACAATCTGCAAGAGCTCTATTTTACCACAATCCCCACCATTCCCAATGGTCTCCCCGACAATCTGGAAAATGTTAATAATTGTTGCTATTTTCTTTTACAGCAAAGGAGAACCTTTAACCCATGTTTCTCAATTTTTCTTATTCCTCGCCTGCCTACTCATTACCCAGCTGGCCCGTGTAGGCCACTGTTGATCTTTCTAGCTACACCATTCCACCCCCGTACCCCACACATGCCTTGTTCTTATCTTTATCTCTGCCTAGAACACCCTCTTCCCATGGGAAGCCATCAAGGCCTGATTTATATGTTACCTCAAGAGATTTCCAACATGTTTTTCTGGAAATAATCAGGGCCTTAGTTGGGAGACACCTGGATCCCCAACATTTCTGGCTTGAGTTCCACCTTTATACTACTATACCATATTCTCAAAGTTACCTGGTAAACAGACTAAGGGATGAGGAAGAGCACTGCCCTTAAGTCTAACTGGGGAAAATACTGAACATCCTTAAGAGCCCCAAAACAATGCTCGATTTGCACAATTTCATTCTCTGCCTTCGCTGCCCCGGACTGATGCTGGGCTTTAGGAATACAATTTAGCCAACAGTTCTTATAATGTTCATTGAATTGTAAGCAAATAATTTCAACATCTCATTACTAATGCTGTTACAGAGCTCTATCCAGACCTAGGGAGCAGGGACAGACTGCAGAGCACTGGGAAGGCTCTAACGTGACCTCTGTGTTGGACCTCAAAATACTGTTTTTGTCAGAAGGGCATTTTGGAAGCTGGAATAGCACCTGCAAAAAACTGGGAAATCCTGGAAATAGTAAAAGTATAGCGGGAGCAAAAAAGAGGGCATGGGCAGGATTGGCTGGAAACAAGCCAAACCATTTACACATTAAATTCCAGGCACATGGGTTGTTGGCTTTTTATTCCATTATCTATAGGCAGCTGAATAAAGAACTGTGATCTCACATTTGGAAGAAGTTTGGGTTTTCCCCCTTTAGCCCCAGGGCAACTCGGATTTTGTCTGTAGAGGATGGGCCAGTCATGGAAAAAGTTCAGGAATCTGCTGAGGCCAAACTTCTTGCAGAAGAGCCCCCTCAGCTCCTTCCAAAGAGGGACTCAGGCTGGTAATGGAGAGTTGGGGGCGGGGGGTAAATAATTTCACCAAATTACCTTCACTCATCCTCAGGGAAAGGGTGCCATGGTTATTTCTTCTGGGTAGGAGTCAGAGTAGTCCAGGAGTTAAAATGGGCACTGTCCCAGACTGGTTTTGAATCCCTGCTCATACCACTCAACAGCGATGGAACAAGTAACTTTTGACTTACTGTCCTCAAATGCAAATAGGAATAACTAATAGTACTAATCTTAATAAGTAGTTACGAGGATTAAGCTAGTAGATGGAAAAATGCACACTGTAAACGCTCAAAGAACTACTATTGTTATGGAAAGTTTTCATTTGAATACGGAAAATGAGGCCCTGGGAGAGAAAAGAATGCCCGATCACACAGATTAGCGATGAGGTTAGGACTGGAATATAGGTCTGATTACCAGCCCAATATTCTATCCCTTGTCCTCAGAGTTCCTAGTCATAGATGTTCACAGCAGACGGTAAGGACCAGTGGGGGTGTGCAGGAAAGAACAGCCAGTCGCAGGGCTTTGGACCTGAATTATAACTTCACGATAGGAACGAGATGGACTCGAGTATTTGTGCAGAATGACTAGCTCCTTTCAGACCTCCTGGGCATCCGGCTCCCAGAACTAAAGTCCTTTCTATTGCACCTTGGAAGTTGCGGAGGGGGAGGGGTCAGCCCCGGTGCATGGCGGGAGGTGTAGTCCTTTCCCTCCCCCGCTTTCCCAAGTCACCCGCCTCAGAGGCCGCTTCATCTTTCCCAGCAAGCCCCGCGAGAGCTCCGGCTATTGATTGGCTGCGGCAGGGGCGGCTCGGCCGGCAGCGGTTACCCAGGGTTTCCGGTGCGAGGCCAGAGCGGGCGAAGCTGTCGGGAGGTCGGCAGTGAGGTGCGTGTCGCGGAGGCTGGGCGGACTAGGCGACCAGAAGGTCTGTGGGCCTGAACGCTCTCGGCCAGTGGGGGAAATCATGCAGATTCCGCGCAAGGGCGCGGGCCG